CCCAGGGATTTTGGGGTTTGGGGATCTGGTACCGAGAGTTTTGGGATGTTGGGAGGGACCTGATCCTGAGGGGTTTTGGGATGTTGGGAGGGATCTGATCCCGAGGATTTTGAGGTGTTGGGAGGGATCTGATCCCAAGGGTTTGGGGTTTGGGGGTCTGGTCCCCCGAGGGGTTTTGGGGTGTTGGGAGGGACCCAGTTCCAAGGATTTTAGAGTTTTAGGGCATTTGGAGGGATCTGCTCCAAGGGTTGTAGGGCATTTGGAGATGGATCTGATCCCAAGGGTTTTGGGGTGTTGGGAAGGATCTGATCCCGAGGGGTTTGGGGGATTGGGGGTCTGATCCCAAGGGGTTTGAGGGGTTGGGAGGGAGCTGATCCCAGGGGTTTGGGATGTTGGGAGGGATCTGAATCCAAGGGTTTGAGGGGTTGGGAGGGATCTGATCCCAAGTGTTTGGGGTATTGGGAAGGATCTGATCCCAGGGGTTTTGGGGTGCTGGGAGGGATCCAGTTCCAAGGGTTTTAGGGTGTTGGGAGGGATCTGATCAGGATTTTAGAGTTTTGGGTTGTTGGGAAGGATCCAATTCCAGGGCTTTTGGGGTGTTGCGAGTGATCTGATCTCAAGATTCCAGAGTTTCCAACTCACCCCAAACCCCAAATCCCCCCCAAATTCCCCTCTCCCAGAAGTGCACCCGCTGCTGGGCGTGAAGGGCGACGGTAAATCCAAGAAGAAGCAGGCGGGCAGGCCCAAAGGATCCAAAGGTAAAGACAAAGATTCTCCGTTCAAACCCAAACTCTACAAAGGGGACAGAGCCTCTTTCCCCCTGGAAGGAGCGGCCAAGGGCAAAGCGCAGGCGGAGCTGGGCCAGCCCCTGGCAGGTAAGGACACCTGGCACCCCCCTGGTGGCCTGCCTTTGGCACCCCCAAAATTCCAAATTCCTCCCTCCCCGCTCGCCCGCTGCCAAGGAAGAGGTTAAAATCGGATTTTTGGGGGTTTTTTTAAGTAGAAAACGGGAATAAAATCGAGTTGTGCACGTAGGGAAATGGAGGCGGGGTTGGTTTCTGTGTGCTGCACGTTGGAGGGGATTTGTGGTGTGGAGGTGGTCCTAAATTCAAATTGTTTTAATTGGTTTCATTGCTTGAAGTCCTTCCCTCAAATCCTGCAGAAGTCAGGAAATGTTTTGGGAGAAAAATGAAGGATTTGGCAGTTTTGTGGTGTGGAGGTGGTCCTAAATTCAAATTGTTTTAATTGGTTTAATTGGTTTCATTGCTTGAAGTCCTTCTGTCAAATCCTGCAGAAGTCAGGAAATATTTTGGGGGGAAATGAAGGATTCTGCAGTTTTGTGGTGTTAAGCTGGTCCTAAATTCAAAATATTTCAGTTGTTTTATTTGGTTTAATTCCTTCCCTCAGATCCTGCAGAAATGACTGAATATCTGAATTTGGGCTGATCTGGGGGGAAAAACGAAGGATTCCACAGTTTTGTGGTGTTAAGCTGGTCCTAAGTTCAAATTCTTTTAATTGTTTGAATTGGTTTCATTTGTTTTCTGCACAAGTCAGGACATATTTTGGGGGGAAATGAAGGATTCCACAGTTTTGTGGTGTGGAGGTGATCCTGAATTTAAATTGTTTTAATTGTTTTAATTGGTTTCATTGGTTTAATTCCTTCCCTCAGCTCCTGCAGAAGTCAGGAAATATTCTGGGGAGGGAATGAAGGATTCCACAGTTTTGTGGTGTTAAGCTGGTCCTGAATTCAAAGTATTTTAATTGATTTCATTCCTTCCCTCAGATCCTGCAGAAATGACTGAATATCTGGATTTGGGCTGATTTTGGGGGGAAAAATTAAGGATTACGCAGTTTTGTGGTGTTGACCTGGTCCAAAATTCAAAGTATTTTAATTTTTTAAATTTGTTTCATTGGTTGAAGTCCTTCCCTCAAGTCCTGCAGAAGTCATGAAATACTTTGGGGGGAAAATGAAGTATTTTGCAGTTTTGTGGTGTTGAGCTGGTCCTAAATTCAAATTATTTTCATTGTTTTCATTGGTTTCCTGCAGAAGTCAGGAAATATTCTGGGGGAAAATGAATGATTCTGCAGTTTTGTGGTGTGGAGGTGGTGCTGAATTCAAATTGTTTTAATTGTTTTGATTGGTTTCATTGGTTTAATTTCCTTCCCTCAGCTCCTGCAGAAATGACTAAATATCTGGATTTGGGCTGATTTTTTGGGGAAAATTAAAGATTCCACAGTTTTGTGGTGTGGAGGTGATCCTAAATTCAGATTGTTTTAATTATTTTAATTCATTTCATTGGTTTAATTCCTTCCCTCAGATCCTGCCGAAGTCAGGAAATATTCTGGGGAGAGAATGAAGGATTCCTCAATTTTGTGGTGTTGAGCTGGTCCTAAATTCAAATTATTTTAATTATGAAATGAGAAAGGATTAAGATTTAATTGAGATTTAAAGATTAAGGATTTAATTGAGAAATAAGAAAGGATCATGGCCTGGAACGTGAACATTGGGATTTCCTAGGAGAATTCCAATCTTTGGCTTCCAAGCAGTGCTGGATCCTTGGATTTTCCATGTTGGAGGGGCTGCTTTAATTTTAAATCAACATTTAATTTTTAATTAACACTTAATTTTTAATTAACATTTAATTTTTAATTAACCTTTCCATACTGAGGAGGGGCTGACTGTGACTTTGTACTCAGCTGCTGTCCCTAATTCCTGGTTTTCTGTGGAGTGCCTTCCTCCCTGGGAAATCCCATTCCCAGTCCCTCTGGAATATTCCAGATCCAGCAGCAGAGCAGCCCCGCTCCTTTCCTGGTTTTTCTGCTTTTCCCTCTCCTTTTCCAGCCCTCTTTGGAAGGATTTTGGTGCAGGAAAATCTGGGATTTTTTTGCTGCAGGAAAATCTGGGATTGATTTCCCTGCTTTGAGGTTGGGATGAGATTCCTGAGCCAACCTGGGAATTTGTTTGCCTCAAAAATGGATTTAGACCCAAATCCCGTTGGATTTTCCCATCAGCTGGAGCTCCCAAAAATCTGCTTTTAGGCTTTGCTTGCCTGCGGTGGCTTGGGATGAAGGGAAATAGGGGAAAATTCCTGCCTGGAATGGTGAGGAGCTCCCAGAGGAACTCCTGGAAACGTCCAAGGATTGAGGTTGCCACAGAATGGGATGGGATTTAAACCACCCCAGCCATTACATTCCATGAAAATCCCTATTTTCCTGGAATTCCTGAGCTGGGGAGGATCCAGCAGAGATTCCCAGTGCTGGAATCTCTGTAGGAACCACATGGGGAGAGGAAAGAATCCATCCCTTGGCTCTTCCCAAAGCCACAGAATTCCGTGGAATTCCCTCTTCCCGTTGTCCTCTTTGTGCCTTGCACCCAAAATTCCCAACATTTTTGGCCACCAGCTTTTCCTCGGGGTTCCAAATTCCCGTGGAATTCCTGTGGAATTTGGATCCATGTTCCCTTTCCCATCCCAGAATTCCCATGAATTCTGCTGCTTCCTGCAGGAGCCAACCCGGGGCTGAAGCAGCTGCACAGGGAGAATTTTCCTGGGAAATCTTTGGGATTTCCATGTGGCAGCTGCATGGCTGGGACTGGGATTAATTATCTTCATTAATTCATTCTCTTAATTCATTTTCTGCTGGCAGAAAATGTTAAAATCAGTTTTTTTTTTGTGTTAAACCCGGCTTAAAATCAAGCAATTTCCTCGTTTCACAGTTCAGAATAAAATCCTCTGCTCTGGTTTCACCCACGCTTAGGTGGGGCTTTATTTCCTTGGTATTTCTTGGAAATTTGGGGGATTATGAATTATTTGACACCAGGTGAGTTTGGGAATAAAGAATTTCTGAGCTGTGCTGCGCTCCCAGAATCTCAAATAACTCGCAGAGCTGTCAGCAGCCTCTTGATACTGAAATTTTGGGGCTTTTAGCTACAAAATCTCACCCACTCCCATTTTTCCCTGCATTTCCCATTTCTTTTCCCTGCATTTCCCATTTTCCCCATGCATTTCCATTTTTTCCCTGCATTTCCCTTTTTTTTCCAGACATCCCATTTTTCCCCTCCATTTCCCATTTCCCCCTGCATTTCCCATTTTTCCCCCCATATTTCCCATTTTTCCCCAGATTTC